CCGTGGGGGGCGGGGGCTGTTCTATTGCCCTTATAAATGAGCATTATCTGACCCGGCTGGGCGCTTATCAGGTAGTCGGGGCGAATTTTATTGGTACCCCCATTGTTTTATGGCCTCCAACCTGTGCACTTGAGTCAGCTGTGCAAAGTATTCGCCGCGGATTCGAGGGGGAATTCCGCAGCAAGGGATCACCTCAATTGCTTTAAAAATAGTTACAATTACAATTGGTTTTCATTATCGCCTGGTCGTCTGTTTAATTAGAGAATCCACTGGGCATCTTGCGGTTTGTTTTTTATTGCGCCTCGGAATTACGTATACGTAATTATGAGAAATTTTTTTCCTTTTTTATCTACGCCAACAGTGAACGCCAGGGCTGTAAGTGCTGATAATTAACCTTGTTCAATAGCCAATTTAATAACAATATCAGTCAAATGATAGCTGATAGGTTACCAAAGCTTTGATTGGATGATAAAGATCAATAGGTGTTATTAAAGTTTTGAAACTTGCTGTACTTATCGAGTGAGGGTCTTAGGTAAAATATTTAAGTAACTAATTAAACTGGAAATGTCGAAGGTCCAACGTTAAATTTGTATTTGGAAGTTGCTAATTATCAATTATCATGAACTTCTAAGCTTCTATATATTCGTGTATGATAAATAAAGGTATTCATCGAAGTCAGATTAATAGGAAAATAAAAGTATCTTTAAATTTTAAGTAAATAATTTGAGTTCTACAATTAAGAGGGAAAGAGGGTTTCAAGAAATTTAACCCGTCGTACAAACGATCTGCGGTTTTTTGAAATTCCAGAAGGGTGATAATATTATTTGTCATACATTTGCCACTTAGAAACGTGTCATAATAACCAATATGATTTATAAGTCGCTATCTTGAGTTCAAAAATTCCAATTTAAAGCCTTCTAGTATACATTGAAAATGATATAGCTTTTCTTGTAAACTCTTACATCGTTTCCCATTATCATAATATAGGTATATGATTAAGCATTCAAAAAGTTTCAATTTCCCAGTTTATTTTCTCCATAAATTCCTGCCTGTCCCGAGAAAATTTATCGCAGCTGGCTGCTATTTATGGCACAGGTGCGGACAGCACCCCACCAACCCACAATGTTTTCACCATCCTCTTACCCCCGCTAATTAAGAGAAGACTACGGTTTTCAGTCAATAAACAAGCAACGTCGCAATTTACATTAGTTTTCAATGACCGTATCAGGTTGGGATGGGATGGGTTGCACATTTGAGGTAGGTTGCTCCACCCTTCCAGAGCCCCTTCTTGCCACCTTCCCTTATAGCCAGAGTTATGTAAAGGGAATTAAAGTAAATTGCAGCGGGGAACTGAGTCATAGAAAGAGGCAACGGTTCTTGGGTCTCGAGTTCTTCTGGGCGCTTCTGTTTGCTCTTTGCCATAAGACACCTCGGGACCGGGCTTATCAGCACTCCCACCTAACTGTAGGTAATCCTAACTAAATGGAAAATCAATCAAGGTATAACCGTAATTGCTTAAAAGTCAGCTGCCCATCAGCTATATCAACTCAAAGGAAATTAATTTAACCCAGCAATTGTGATCGATGTTTATTTACCCCTTAAATACTGGAGGGCTTCCACTGAAGAGGGGGGTCTGCCAGCTTTTTAAGAGCTATTAAGAGCTATTAAAAATATCTTAAGTAGAACATTATTTCTTGTTATTAAATTCTAATACTTTTTAAAAAGTAATTTCAGAAAATCAGCTGAAAGCTAAACTATTTCTTGAGGTTCTAAGTTAGTTGAGGTAATTTTATAAAGATGAAAATATAATTTCTTTGCTGCTGCAAATTATTAGTTTACACACCAATGAGAAACCCTCGTTAGGAGCATTCTGATTGCTATAATGTTATAGTAATTGGTGTGGGCACTTGCTTTATATTCCCATCATTCCGGCTCACTTAACTCAGAGGCTGCGACGCAATTGAAAAGTTTTCCGTTTGGAAATTCACTGAACCAATAAACCAAACTTGCGGCGCCACCTTTCTTCAACCGCGACCGCAAAACATATCCGATTTCAAAGGGGATTAAGAATTTGATTTGAAGGCATGACTATACATTTGTTCACTTTTTATTGCGAAATAGAATGTTTAGCTTTGCCATAACATCTTCACAAATCCGTGATAAGCCCAAAAAATGAGCTCTAAACGTACTTATGCTGTAAGAGTAGGCTTGGTTCGCACTTCCGGGGAAATCTTTCACAATCTTTTCTTAAGTCCTTTGTCTACGTCCTTATATTTGCTCACACAGACAATCCTTTTTAAGTGTTGGCACACAAACACAGAAATGGGTAATAAAACAAAGGCAGCGGCGACGTTATCCTTTAAATTCAAGTGCAATTGAATTGTGAAAGCCTTTCTCTCTGCGGCAAATTACAAAATGCCCTCCTGATTACATAACTGTTATATCATGAGAGTAAACCGGGCGGAAGAGTGGGCGAGAGAGAGCGTTTGAGGCTTAGAGAGGAAACTTGGAAGCTGCCACCCACGCAGAGAGAAAGTGTAAATGTCAAAGGGCAGTGACGTAGCTAGGCAAAACTTTGCCGCCTACGTGGAATAGTAACATACTGAAAATAATTTTGGCTTACCAAAATCGTATACTCAAAAAAAAAAGTGCTATAAAATTTGACATAAAATATATGGTAATGTAAACTCACACAAAAAAGTAAAAAAGCCTACATTATTAAGAACTACTTTTTAATAAAGTATTCTGAAAAAAGTATGAAAATATGCAAATATAAAGATAATACAAAATAAAACTCAAAATCAAGATAAAAACATTAATATAAAGTTTACAAAAGAAAATTAAATTCTATTAAAGCTGTATTTTTCAGTCCCTATCATTATTTTCAGTGTACGAAAAGGACACTCTAGCACAAATACAAACACACAGTGGCTGTCATTAATTTTGATGCGGCAATTAGGCAAAACAATTTGCGGCATTCAATGGCCGCAGCTTTTTAGTTGCCACTGTTCATGACGAGAGTGAGATGGAAAGATGCGATGTCGGGTAGAGCGGTGAAGTCGAGAAGTGGGGAAGAAATCACTGCCATGGCCCTTCGTTGCGGAGCGGAGCTAACCTTACTCTGACCTTGAAGCGGAGCGAGCGGGAGACATGAGCAGCTGTCTGCATCGCACGCTGTCTGCAGCTGAGTGAAAGGGGGTGGGGAAAGGGGCGGCAAATAGCGAAACAAGATTCACGAATGAAGCACAGCCCATAAAATAGTCAACGAGCAGGAAGAATAGGCAAAAGGGATGGAGTGGGGGCACCATCGAGAAGAGAACTTCACAGCGGCAAAAACAAGAACAAGAACGAGAAGCTTGCGGCAGGCGGTCCGGCACAGTACAGGTCGTTTCAATAGGGGTTTAACCTAAGATTAGCACATTTGTTTAAATTATTAATTATTTAATAAATATGTCACTCGGAAAAACAACATTTTATAAAAAAAAAAACACCTTGCACCCTCAATTTTTTGAAATTAGTAACATATTATACTTTGTTAAGTAAAAAATATTCAGAGGAAACTATTTTGAGCACATTAAAGAAAATATTGCTGTTTGTTCTCAACAGTGTCAGCAATATTAAATAATTTAAAATCCATTTATAACTTTTTGTGTTATTGTGCTTTTAACAATTTAAGCTAAATTTACTGAAAAAAGGTATAAACAACACATAGCAAGTGTCTAAGAAAATACTTCCTTGTCATCAATATAAATAAATTTAAGTGTCCATAAATCACAAGGCCAAGCCGCATCTAATTTTATGTCGCCCACTGTAAGTTTTGGTGTGGGAGCTTCTGCTCTCCTACTTCTTCCTGCTCTCTGACTCTGCTTCTTCTTCCCGCACTCCCTCTTGTCAAAGTATTTGAGTGTGTGTCTGTGCGCCATGTAAAATTTATTGATTTTCTAGAGGAACTCCTACGGGAATTGCGAAAAGATATAGAGTGGGAAAATTGGGGAGCACGGAACCCTTATCTTTTCCGTACTACGCTTTTTCTTATTCCCCAACTTTTTGTACATATCAAATAGTGTAGGTATGTGTGTGTATTAAGTAATTTGCATATCACATATTCCTAAGCCACTCAATAAGGAATTCCACACCATTTTTTTTTCATTTACATTTAACTTTGCTGATAAGCCGAAATAATTTCCGAATTTTGCACAAAACGAAGAACTTTCCGAGTTTTTCACTTTTCCTCTTGCTTTAAGCACTTCAACTTCGATTTGGCTTTAGAATATTTTCTGGTTTTTCCGCGTGTTCAGAATACGTGCGTTTTTTTCAAAAGACCGAATGAGAATGAGAAAGAGAATAGGACGAAAATCGCAACTATCCCCAAGAGAGCCAGCGAGAGCGAGCAAATGCGTGAGAGCTTTAATAAAGTGGTTATATTGTGGATTGTTTATTAATGCTACCTTCTTTATATATTAAATGCTTTTAGTTTAATTATTTTTAAAGAAATATTAATAATACTAGTTTTTTTTTGTTTTTTAGAAAACAACAGTTTTTTAAGTTATCTCCTTGTTACTTAAATATTTGACCGTTAAATACCGTTACATGCTGCGCAACTCACTGTCAGAAGCTAATGCAATATTTCCACTGGTACACATATATTATGATTTTGTTCTATGTTTAAAACTTTTATAATTGTAAAAATTTCGAATGCACAGATATAAGATAAGAGATTTGAAAGTGTTTTATGAGTGGAATTTATAAAATAAATTCATATCATAGGGATTCGAACGAATAACAATATTAAAAATATTGAACTCCAATTATAAATTTAAAAAAACATTAGTTTTCTCAAAAATATTAATATTAAATTAAAAAAATTTTCAAACTCAAATACGTGACCGTTACTATCTAATGCATGGTAGTCACTAATCACTGTCAGAAGCTAACTGATATAAGTATACAAACGCTTTTGGTATATTTTCTCCAGTGAGTTGATATTTTTTGACTTGCGCTAACAGGTCACACTGCTTGTACATGTGCCGGGTCGTCAACTAAACTTCAGATAAAAAACTCAATCGAAGCGTCCAGAAAACAAACAAATTCAATTCTCCAACAGTACAAATACTCTACAATGTCTGCCGAGGAAGGAAAGTTTGACAATATCCTGCTGGCCGTGGCCGAAAAGCACCGCGGAGGAGTGCCTGAGGTAAAAACAATAACAAAGAGCGAAACTTCTTTGTTTTAATTTTGTTTAATCATTGTTTATTGTGTTTCTTTGATATAGTTCCTTGGCACTTTGGCCAGCTTTCTGCGCCGCAAGACCGACTTCTTTACGGGTGCACAGCAGGCGGAATGGGAGAAGCTTCTGCTGGATGTCTTTAAGAAAGAGTCCAAGCTGGCCATGAATGAGCACAGCGAAAAAATGAAGACCCGCGAAGCTGCCCAAAAACAAAAAGAGGAAAAGGAGCGCGCTGAAAGGGAGGCTCGCAAGAAGGAGATCGACGATAACAAAATATGTGATATCACCGATGAGGAGGCGGCGGCCATCATCAAGGAGGAGGAGAACAAGTATGTGAGATCATCGTGAGAGTATTTACTAAAATATCTATGTACATCTATATTGCAATTATCGTAACGTAACTAATAGATAGCTTTTGATATTGTAGCTTTTGTTATTGATGCCCTCATTAACATGTACATAAATCTTTTTCAGAAAACGTCAGCAGCTGCTGGATGGCGCTGGTGCGGAGCCAACTGCCCCTATTCGCGATGACCTCTCCAAGCCCATCGAGGAAGTTGACAATGACACAGAAAAGAGCGAGTTGGGCAAGCTGATGCCGAATTTAGGCAATGGTTGCACCTTAGACAAGTACAACTGGACACAAACTCTGCAGGAGGTGGAGGTAAGTCCTTTTAAGTATGTGTAGCCCTTATCCCCTTTCTTCTATGCTGACCCAGTGAGCTGTTGTCATGGTTACTTGTCGTTACTAATGTTGGAATGTCAGCTGTTTACTTTAATGGAAAGTATAGGACCTTCTGCTGGTAATTTTAAAGAAACCTGACTACTGACTTATCAGTTACTGAACAGCAGAAAAGCTTTTTGGAAACATTTTTCTCTAAAACTTCGTGTAAAAACGTTCTTCTTTGCTTCTAAAACACCTTGAGTTGCTGGTTGCTAGGCTGCAGTCATAGCTGAAAACCCACGACGACCAAGTCATTGACCCTCCGGTAGGTGTGATTCACCAACCCTTGGTGTACATTTATAAAATTCACTTTATTAAACATATCACAGGGATAAATAACTTAATTGCTAACCAGAAAGTACAGTATTATCCGATACCAGACGGCGATTGTCCGATCCGCTCCAGATCTAGTTCCTTGTATGTTTCTCTGTCTCCATAGCATAGCGCGCTTAATACTAATGCAATTTCCCAGTTTCGACTGACTCGACTCTCCATCCAAACATTCGTTAAATAAATAGCTTATACAACTAGCGCCAAGACGACACGATAACAATAATAAAATTAATAATAATAATAATGGGGGACAAAGACAATACAATAAATAATAAGCTAATTGGCTAGGCAGAGGAATTGAGTCCTAGCTCTTGGGCATGTCGCGGGCGCGCACTGCAAAACAAAAAATAGATATATTAGAATCAAGTTAGATTAGGAACGATATTTTAGAACTTACTCTCCAGCGCATAGACCATGCCCATGATGAGCAGCATAAAGATGGTGCTCATGCTCACTATCAACACGGTGACCTGGCGTCCACGATCGCAGAGACCACGCTTCGGTTTCTTCGGGGGACCACCTTCTCCATTGACCATCGTGAAGTGCATAGAGCTCGCAATGGATACGGTGTCCAGGTCTTTGGTTTTCACGTACTGCAAATTGGGATCCACTTCGTTCGGCTGTTGGCCCTCGATGGCGATAACCGCATCCTTGCCGCTGGCTAGCGTCAGATTGGCATTGTAGTTGGACGACGAAGGATTACTGGGCATCAGCATCTTGTTGTGGCGCTCCTGCTTCTTGTGGATCTCCGCGAAGCGTTCCAGATTCGCTGCCGTCAACAGCAGTGAGCCGGAAGCAGCGCTCTGTTTTTTGAGAATGGAAAGGAGAAGAGAATGTTTGTTGAGTCACACACGATTCTTCGATACGGTTTGGTTCTCCACAACCCGGAGCCTGCGTGGGCTCGGCTTACTCACCCGTGTGCTGTTGTTACTGTCGCTGGAGCCCTGCGAACTCCTCGATCCCCGCTTGGCAGCAGCCAGTACCGCTGCCGCAGCCGCCGCCGTAACAGCAGCACTTGTATTATTATTATTATTATTATTATTTGCATTGCTGCTGTTGCTGGGCGAACTCCGCTGGTTGAGGGTGGGCGGATTCGAGTGCGATTTGTTCGAGGACTTTGAGGAGCTGGCCGAACTGATGGCCGAGCTTGAGGATGAGGCCAGAGAGGCGCGGGGAATGTGCCAGTAGTCCTGCATCTGTAAGCAAAGGAAGGAAGTTGGTTAGGTCTTCGATTGAGCAGTCAATTAAATAATAATAGCTATAGTAAGCCTAAAAAAACATTTAATTTTCAATATTTATGTACTCGGATAGTTTAGGCATATTCTTCAGTTCCTTGCTGATATACCCAAGTTGGGAAAGAGTATATTTTTGCACCTTGTGCTTGTGATCGTGTCACGATGTGGTACATCCGCTCTGCTCTAAAAAATCTGTGCTACACATTTATGTCTTCCCTAGCCCCTGTTCTCCATTCCCCCGGTTCCTGTCAAACGTTGGTGCTAGCGTCAGAAGAAATCCAAATCCAATCCAACAAAACCTGAACTTTTGAGTTGTCTTTTTGGCCGTTTTGTCTTTGTTTTGCATTGGTTGGCAACTTGTTTGAAATTTATGGTCTCTGGTCTTGGTTGGCTAAAAGCCTGATTTGTATTTATTATTAATTCGGCTAGTCGACAGTTTTTATTATGTTTTTTTTTTTAATTTTTTATCTGTGGGCAAGCTTTTATATCTCGGGCCTTTCTCTTTAAATGGCTTCGCCGATTGTTTGGCTTTGACGTAATTGTGGCAATCAATTGTCCTCCCCATTGGTGTATATGTTTAAAAATTCTATTAAAAATTTTAAGATATCGCAACAAAAGTTGCAATTCGAGTTTGTGCCTTAAGTCTTTTGTTTGCTCTTGCCGTCCGAATGGTAGTGTGTGTGTGTTTGTGAGTGTGTTTTGTGCGTTTGTTTTACACAGCACAGAAGTTAATAAATTTGTTCGTGCTGCTTCTTGCGTTTTATTTATTGTAAATATTATTTAGGCATGCGGAAGTCTTATCACTCTTTATTGATTCAACTTGATTGGCCAGTTTTTCGATTTGTTATTTTTTTTGTTATCTTTTCTTAACGCGGCGTTATTTTTGGGCTTACTTAATGTGTCGCCTGGCGTTGTTACTTTACTTACATTTGTTAATTTGTAATTGTTGTGTTTGTTTTGTTCTCGTGAATTGTTTGATTATAACAGCAATTTATCACACACACAATTTAAGGTAATTAGTATCACAATCTGGAGTATTTTTAAGCAGAGTCTCGCTCCGGTTGTTGTCAGTCTCTTTTTTATTTTTTGGGTTTTACGATGTGTATAATTTATAATTTTTGTTTTTTTAATTACGGTTCACGAAACACTCAGCTGTTCGGGCTGCTGTTTGGGGAAACCGTTTCGATTCTTTTCGCAATGCTCTTTAGAATTCTCCTACTACTACTTCTCACGTCTTCTTCTCACAGCGAAGAATTCTTCAATGCGCGTTTCGCCAAACAGAACCGATCTAAACGGCCTCAAGAATCGAACTGAAGCGAGCTTAGCGCCCAAGTTGGGCTCACAGCTAAGATCTCTGCTCACCGCTTGAGTTCTGCCCACTTGGGCAGAGGTGCTCAGGCGACGTCGCTGCCTCTGTTGGCGGCGACTGCGCGATGCGCAAACCTTTTCGAGTGTAAGTGTTTGTTGTTGCTGGCTTTCTTGCCGGATTTTGCATGTCATAACAATTCGACGGTTCTCATTTGTTGCCACTGCTACAGTGGTCTCTCGTAGAGTGGGAAAAGCTTAGAACTTTTTGATAAAGGGTTTTTGGATTAGGGTTTTATTAATTTAAGAGTAATTTTGAAGATCAAATTGTCATTTTAAAATTATTAAATTTTTTATTTTTTCTTATTAATTGCTATATATGCTAAAGAAATGATTTTTAATTGTCTTGAATACTTCCTACTGTTTAAGTCAAATTCCTTTTAGAGAGCTTTTACTGTAGACACACTTCTACGGCTCTTAACGATCGGCAACTTTTTCTCCCTATTTTTTGGATTCGATGATGTTTGATGGGTTTGTTGCCGGCTTTGATGTTTGGACTGCTCGCCTTGGCCTGATCAGCTCATCAAGTGATTTGCCAACTTTCTTTTGGCCATTCTTCTTCTTATAAACTAATCGCCCTTTTTACCCATTATGAGCTGGGTATTTCTGATTCTTGAGATGGCCAGTGAAGGGCCCTTAATCGTTTTTGGCGTGTGGGCGTTTTCTAGATCCGTTTCGGAGGCCCAGAAATCGAAGTTTAATGATTGCGGGAAAACCCTAATTCTAGTTTGATGTTAACTTAATTAAGGGCAAACCTTGACCACCTTACCGCGAGCTCCGCCCATTCGGTGTAGCTTCGTTCCCAGGGCCCATTAATGTTTGATTAATACGCGTTCGATTATTAAATCAACGGTCTATGATCTTATAAATAATATGGCCATTATTTAAATGTCCCAAAAGACGAAATAAGCGCTTCTATTTTTGGTTAATTTGGAATTCTAAGAAAGCATTTAACGTCAATGATCCAAACAAAAGCTTTATATCAACACGATCAGAAATGCAAACAAAAAATGAATCTATTAATTTAATGTGAAATTTGAAACATGATCCTAGGTGGGGATGTACAAGTTGTCTGCCAGCTCCTAATCAAGTTTCCTTTTACATTGGCTTTAGATTTGCATTATGATAAATTTGTTTACTAAAACAGAGTGCTAAGAATATTTCCGAAAGTCTTTCTGGCTTGTTGACTCAATGAAAATACCGATGAGTCATCAGAAAATAAATTACTACCGATTTCCATTAATAAATTTCAGTTTTGAATAGCAGCAGAAATGTTTGCGTTTCTCTTCTGACGGAATTTGTTAAACAAATGGCCAAAAATCCCCAACGATTCTTATTAGTTTTGGGTTAGTTGTTTGCTTAATCTCATAGGAGATCTCATATTATTATACCATTAGAGTTATAACGCCCTGTGGGAATTGGTTGGGTAAACAAGAAATTCCCAAAAATCCCAAACATTTCTATTACAAATTTGCTTGCTTTGGGTTAAAGCGGAGAGTTCCCTCTGTCATTCTCGGTAGCAAATGGCAACAAATGTTTCTAATCTTTTCTTTTTTTTTTGGCCATAACTTTTGTTGCTTCGTTTGCTGTGTCGAGCATCTTGTTATCACCTTTTAAGTGAGACAAGTGAGTGGCCTGCCGCCAGTTTCAGCTTTTTTTCTTCTCATTATATGGGATATTCTTGGTGGTATGAGTGAAGTGCTGAAGTGCTGGCCGAGTCTGGTCGATTTAATCAGCGGAGAGTTGACAAAGATTACCTGACACGGCCAGTTACCAGACCAGAGCAGTGCCAATGGACTCTGCCGAACGCGAATCGCATTAGCAACAAAAAAAAAAAACAACAATGATATATATACATGTATAAATCGAAAGAGAATCAGGCGGTGTTTTATTGAGATCACTTGAAAAGGCAAAGATTGAGGGACGCGTTGCCACTTAAAGAGATGGGATGACGGCGAATGGGAGCCAAACACTTGCTATAGATCGGCCAGGCCAGGTCTCGGACCATTCCGAGACATTCCCCCGAAATAGAATCAACAACATTCACCTCATCTCGAACTCATCGCGGCGATATACCATATACAATATAAAACCTACAAAGACGAACAAACGGCGATCTTTTTATTTTATGCATAAAATTACGAATGCAAAATAGTTTCCAGTGACGCCGACGGATCTTACGTGCCCAGCGTCGATTTCTGTTCCATTTTGGGTGACAACAATTGGGGATTAAAGGCGATTTGAAAAAACAAAAAAATATCATTGGGAATTGTTAATTTGTCGTGGTAAACGGGGAAATCCCTTGAAGCTATATGGCTAGATCCGTTGACGTTTGCCACGCTTATTCCTAAGGTGGCCTGGGGCCAGTATTTCTCTGATTGCGGCTATTAAAGCTTAATTTTCGTATACAAAAACGTTTTGAGTATATTCGGCCCTCGGGACATATATATGTTTAATAATCAGAATCTTGAGTTAATGCAGAATTCCATGCGAAATTCTTGAAAGCTTGACTCATTTGCCAGGCAAGCGGAAATACTAAATAAATGTCGTCTTGCTATCTCATCACCTAAGAGGAGTATTACGTAGCATTATATACGCTATATATACAATTGAATTTTTATTGGCAATTTTGCCAGCTTCTAATTGGCTGTTATATAAACGAAACTGATCTTTTATTTGTCCGTTTCACACCTGTTTAGCTTATAAGGCGCCTTAATGGGTTTCTCCTATAAATCACGCTAAAAATCAACTTTGCTGGGGTTTTAAAATCGTGGAGTTGAGGCCCAAACAAAGAATTTAAACTGACAAAAGATCCGTTTTTAGTTTCCTGGTCGAAAGAATGTGTTTATTAGATCAGGTCAAATGGTTCTAGAAATAACTTTTCCCTTTCTGTAAGCAAACAATCTTCTCTCCTATATCTGGTTTTTACTGGAAGTAGAGCTAATTTAACTTGGATTTGGCTAATTTATTAACTTGGTATCAAAATAAATTATCTGATCTTATGTACAAATTATGCAAATATTTTACAAATCGATATATATATATATATAAACATAAATCAACTTGTAGGATATTTAGTTCTTAACATTCCCAAATTAGCGAGACAAGCTATCGAGTGACTACTTTCAAGACTAATTTCCATTATACTACTGTTCTCGAAGCTTCTTTACAATTTGTTAATTTATGGGAAAACCATTCGAGATGACACTTTTAGTTCTGATATCTGACATATCAAGAAGATCTCGTTTCTCACCAAAAATTAAAGTTCATTATAATGGGATATCCCACTGAAATTGACTAGGTTAACCGGATAGAGTTTTTCAGTATAATTTGTTTTGTAATCCGCTTATGGGGCAAACAAATGGCTACCAGATCGATCTCTCAAGTCTTATTTACCATGCAAATGTCAATACGGATTCTATTGTACCCACTCGACGAGAGCTCATTGTATGGATGGCGGTGGAGGAGGGAATGAATCGGAGTAGAGTGGAGTAAGGTATGGAGCTCCATTCCCAAATACAAACTAGTTTCAGTTTTTAAACGCAAAACAATTCTAAATGGAAAGGAATCAAAAAAATATAACAAAAAAAATAAGAATTTGCCACGCTCAAAATTTCGATTCTATTCTAGAGATGTTTAGGGGTCCACTCCACATTCTGGCCAACAAATAAGTCAAGTTTAAGCCGCTTTTAATGAGCTCGGCAGTGGGTACTCGTAAAGATAAACACTTGGATAAAGGTTAATTTCCAAATTGTTAATTACGAAGTAATGTTTCTATTTAATGGTTCATTTAATAGGCAACGTGTACTTAGAAAATCTTCAAAGATATATCTGGAAATTGGATTGGAAATCCGACCAATCACTGTACCTAACCACAGCCAAGTTCCTTGGCGACGACTCAGCTGTTTTCTGTGATAACATTATCGAATACAAAACACTCGGCAGATACACACTTCTAAGCACTCGACTCCATCAACAAAGCTAGTTTTTTCTTTCGATTTTTATTTTGCTTAAATGGATGGTTTGTTGTTTCTACGTTACCTTTGCTTTTGTTGCTGTTGCGACCGTTCTTTTTTTCCTATTTAATTTTTTTGGTGGTGCCTGGCACCGGATCGCATCTTTTAGCATAAATTATTCGCGGCTAGATATATTCGTATTTAAAGAAAATGAAATGCTGTTCAAGTTTTATAGAATTAATCAGCAGCAGCAGCGGCGGCATCGAGATGATATAGCAACAAATAACAGTTTAAAACGGCAGCCGACGAAGATGTCTTTCACTTTACAGAGACACAGAAAGAGAGAGAAGGAGAGAAAATAGCGGGGGGAATTGGTTCAAAATCTCTACTGGATTTGAATGATCGATTAATTGGTTGGCGATTTAATGTGCAGCCAGCCCCGGCCTGTATCCAGCATTAATATTAGGATTGGCTAAAAAGATTTGCATAAAATCGCCCACTGTCAGACGATTCGTCTGCGAAACCGCTCTCACTTGGCGGATAAGTGTGCCAAGTCTCGTGCTTTTTTTATATATACATATGTCTTTATATATATATATATATATATCCATCGTCGCAGTCATCAATATTTGTTATTATTCATTAATTCATTCACGACACCTTTTATGCTTGTCGTCTCTGAACTCAAAAACGAACTCTGACTTTGACTGGCGGTGACTCTTCAGCTTTTGTGTTTACCTTTATTGGTGGCACAGCTTCATTTTCATACCTCATATTTTGCTTAGAGTGTCAGAGTCTATTGTTTTTCCCCAAGCCATGGCATTTGCATGAGTGTATACCCCACCTGTTCAGGTGATTTAAAAGCCGTAGGTGTCTGTCTTGTGATTTGTGTAAATTTCCTAGTTTCGGGCATAGAGTTCTTTTTCGAGTTGCTATTTGCATAACCTTCAGCAATGCAGAATGGTTGGTGTTTTTCGGGTCTCCGAAACCCTTGAGAAAGCTTACATTTACTTAATTAGTTTTACACAAATTTTTAGTTCTAAAAATAAACATTCAGTTTCTTGCATTTATTAGATTGTAAGTTACCTACAGTAGAGGTTGAAATCTTAAGAAAGGAACACAATTCTTGTCTCGCTTATTACTTCTTAGTGAAGGGTACTTAACAATCTAAAAGATTAATTTCCTTGAAGAGTAATTAGACTTACAAGAATTCTGTTCATAACTCTTAAGCTAAATCGCTGCAATGATTTGCTAAACATTCCCAGTTGACTTTTTCTGTTGCCAAGCATTTAACTTGGCTATTGCCCACGTCTCCAGTTCTGACTCTGCGGATCTATTTTTGTGGCTGCTGCCTTACATCCGCGTACGATTCAATGTTTCCAATTGACATCCGCTTCAGTTTCAGCTTTTGACACATTTTTTCTTCATTATTTTCAAACTGCTATCGTACGAGATGAAGTTGCCACCCACATGTGGTCGCTGATCTATGAGCTTCTGTTGACACAAGCCGCGTGCTCCGAAGCAGAAGAACTCCAAGTGGTACTACCTTGGATGACTGCCCACACGATCATATAGCAGCTCTCCCCCCATCCACTATATATAGATAGTCTAGAGACGACTATCATGAGGCAAACGAAAGCGTCCTTGGTTCAGTTGGATGCCGCTTCGTGAGATTTAAATTAAAGGCTTAGCTTGCCCCTCATTGTTTTTATGCCACATGCGATTCGCTAATTGATTGCACAGCCAGTTGTCTAATAACTTGCGGGGCTTTAATTATGCTGCGAGAGCTAATGGGAAAGGTGTTAATGTATGCATGTATCCGTGCGATTTATAATTAATGGCCAGCCGTGGCACATAATTCTAGACGCCACTGTAATTGCTGTGAACTTGGCCAAGCAGCCACATAAATCCATTCGCAGGTTGCTTTAATTTTGTACACGGAAAGAAAATGGAGATACTTTTGGAATGCATACTTAATTGGATGATTTCCCAACAAATTATTGTTTACACTCTTTCAATATAAAGACTCTTATTTTCATCTTGTAATAAAATATCAAAAGATTGGATAATTGTCAATAATTTCATCCCAAGACCTAATTTGACCATAAATTTGTGTAAAGTGTAGCGGTTGCAACCTGTTGAGCGACATTCTTGAGTGCTCCTCGCTGCGAGGTTGAAGAATTCGATGTTAACTCCTCCCTTAACCGGACCTGAAGAACCGCTGTACGTCCTTGAACTGGCAGCTGAACTAAATTCCCGTTCTACATTCAGTCCTTGAACAAAGGAAGACTCGATCTGGTTGATCTGGTGAAGGGCAGATCTGGCAGCTGTGATATGATCATTGGACTGTTGGCTGCAGAAAGACGTGCCCCTGCAGTTGGTTGGTTGGTTATTTATAGAGATCGTTGTTATTAGCTTGCCAAGGTTGTGCAATGACCAAAGCAAACTCTGGCTAAAGAATCTCCGTAGATGTATAAACACGCATCCGATCATTAATCTTATAAGACCTGCCACTTCAAGCTTGATTACACGAAGAACCCCTGAGTAATCCCATACACTCTACTCTAGTTTGATTGTCATTAACGGAATGGATGTTGGATTACACAAGGAAAAACTAAGAGCAACATGATTAACAAAAATTGTTTAAAATAATGATGATCTTTTTGTTACTTATAAAGGACGGGAATTTATCTATTATTATTATTTATTTATTATTATTAATATTGAAGTTAATGGCCAACCAAAGTTCATTAAGAGAAAAAGTTGTAGTAAATCGAATTCTAAAACTTATCATAATTTTTATCTCTGCAGCTGAAGATTCCCTTCAACGTGTCATTCGCTCTACGTGCCCGTGATCTGGTGGTCAATATTGGTAAGAAGACGCTGAAGGTGGGCATCAAAGGTCAAGAGCCCATCATCGATGGCGAACTATGCGCCGAGGTGAAGCAGGAGGAGTCCGTGTGGGTGTTGCAAGACAGTAAAACCGTGATGATCACACTGGATAAGATCAACAAGATGAACTGGTGGAGTCGCTTGGTGACCACGGATCCAGAGATCTCAACACGCAAGATCAATCCAGAGTCGTCGAAGCTTTCGGATCTGGATGGGGAGACGCGCAGCATGGTGGAGAAGATGATGTTCGATCAGCGACAGAAGGAGATGGGTCTGCCCACCAGTGAGGATCGCAAAAAGCAGGACATACTTGAGAAGTGAGTACTTGTTATTGGGTTTTAGTTTGCTTATTAAACTAACTTTCTCTTTTACAGATTCAAGCAACAGCATCCGGAGATGGACTTCTCGAAGTGCAAGTTTAATTAGCTCAACATTCTCAGGCTTAACTTGATATAACTTTCGCTTTCGCACTCTTCTCAATATCTTCACATTCGAAATGTGAATTCTTCTTCATCTTTCCAATCACAAACAACCAACTAATGCAAGAAAAATAAAAATAATTTGTATAACGTACAACATTTAAAACCAGAAAAAACCCCAGCATTTTAAAATATTTCAATATGTTAATTCCAATTAGTTAGTGAAAGCCAAACAGAAAGAAAAAAAACGAGAAAAAAATCGATCATTCAGCCAAGGAGGATGAAAGGCTGGTCCAAACCAGCTTGATCTTCTGCAAATGCTCGAGGTAATTTTGGGTGTTTTATGGCCAGCTTTTAAACTGAATTTAAATCGAATTGATTTATTGGAGCTGAGAACATGATCGTGAAACTGGATCGCAGGAATTTCTTTACTTGTCTTTAACGGTTTTGGGTTCTGTGGACGGACACAGCTTTGTTTACGAGATCCACACCCAAATTCAGATGAGAATTTCTCAGTAGTTCTCTGGGTCAATGATCTGGTAAATTCTGAACTCGTTTCCTAAGCCGAACATAAATTTAGTTCGTCTTAATAAATAGTTAATATGTTGATTTGCTTAGATTTATCTTTTGTATCAATTTTGTATAATTTGTAAAGTGCTAAGCAATGCCTTAATGGCTACGACTAATTTGGCAACTAATTGGTTGCTTTTGGATTTAAAGTTTTTGTTTTGCCAATTTTATTTGCCACGCGCCGTGAGTTTATATCCGAGATGGAAGCGTGACACGCAGGAAGATCAAGAAATATAGATTGTTAAGTTAATATTGTGACTTAAGGTTAAGCAACAGATCATCTCTAGTTTCCAAAATAAAGACCTAGGAAGAAGTAGAGACATTTGATACGCCCCGTTTAGTTGTTAATTCTCGTAGCTCATTAATTAGCTAAAACGTTTTTCGAACCGTGTTTAACAAAGCGTAGAAAAAGAAGCACTCGAGCAATGCCAGTAGACCCTAATTAATGAATGGTTTCCCCATCTCGATGGGGTGTGGAGGCCAAAGGAGATGGCTTTGGGATAGTGGCTAGCGCGCGTAATCCCAACTAAATCATTATTCCTCCTTGTGGGTGGCACTGTGTCATGCGATCTTATACTATATATGCCTCACTTAATTAATTAGCCAATTAATATCATAAATTACTGTCAGTGGGGAACAATATGAATTGCGCAAAAAGTTTGCCAACAAATTCGCGAGGGTCGAGAGTGTCCGCTAATGGCCAAAAATAAATTGTAACAAATTGTTTGGCGAGAGAGGGCGAAAAACGGTCAAGAACAAACATAACAGCAGAACCGGATTTTTTGGTTTGAACTTAAAAATTTGGAATTTTGTTTGTTATAAATTGGAAAGTACAAAATGCTTTCAGTTCATAATATCCGCTTCGGCTTCTGCCTGCCAATTAGAAGAGTGGGAGAGAGGCAACCGGTTAATAAACCAAATCAAAGGGGAAAGAGAAAGCAAGGTTAGATAATTTTTTGCATCCAGAATGTGAGTCACAAGGGGGAAATTTAGTTAAGTGTCCGCCCTAGGCCATCCATTATGATAATAGTAATATTCCAGGCCGCGATCAGGATCTATAAATAGCGCGGTTTTTATTCAAATCAATTGAACTGTTAAATGACGCACGTGATGAATGCGTCTTGTCTGGCTGGCCAACAACTCTGTCCAGCGGAGAAATCAATAAATATTAAATATATAAGAAAAAACAAAAAAAAAAGCAAATCAACGACAATGGGGAGCCATAAATAATGAATCCGGGTGCCTGGTTCTACTGTTGTTTCTGCTGTTCTGTTGAGTTTTTATTATTATTGTTTCGACAGCCGCAAATTTTTGGTAATTTCGAGTGTTTCCCACATCTCAAACGCACACACACATAGACAGTCATTTACTTATGCCTCAAATTATTCCTTTGGGGCGTTCTCAAACGCTTGACGGTCGCGTGGGCCAGTCTATTTTTTGTTCCCAAACTTATTTTTTATGCTGGTAATTGCGGCACATTTGTTATTTTTAGCCTTTACGAGTCTGGTTTCGCCTATTAACTATAGCAGTTGGATTTTTTATATATTGATGGAGGAGAAAGGGTGCGGGATCAGGGCCTCTGATGGCTCTATTGTAAAGGCAGCGTCATGCCGGTCACGCCTCATAAATTCGTCTAGACTCTGGCTCAGACAAAAGACTTAGGCAACGAACTCGCTTCGAAATCTCTGACCCGCTGGAAAGTTTTCCGTTGCTAAGCTAAAATAAGCTCTGCTTTGGGCATTTACTGTGTCCACTTTGAAGGTCAAGCTTAAACTGCATTGTGAACAGCCATAACTGTTGATAACTAAGGCCTGGAAAAGATAAATCGGTCAATTCATTAACCCTTTTGGGGGAATTGTGTCATTTGAAAGAAGACTTTAACCCAAATTAGTGGAAATGGGAAAAAAACTATCATGGATTTTAATTATGTTATCAGTTGAAGTTATAAAATATCGGTATACTATAATAGTTATAATTTCTAACGTTTTAATTCTAAATAATTCCTTTAATACGGTTAGAGATCAAATGATTTAACTTTTCTGATAGGCTTTAATTTGAGTTGATTTATTACTGCAACATTTTTATAACAAATATATAAAAATATTTTTATTTATTTAAATCCCACAGCTAAAAGTAATTGCTTAAAAAATAAAATAAATCAGCGGAAATTATGCGTTTAATTAAGGCGGCATTGTGTTCAGCGAAAAACCTATCAGAAAACAAAAAGCATAAATTAGTAATCAATGAACGGATTTCCCTGACTGATTCATCCATCAACAGGTTAAGTATTTCATGTAAAAACTTGTAATATATGTATTTTGCATACATTTTCCTGAGAGAGGGTTAAAGTCGTTCGAGGTAGGAGAAGGGAATTCCTCGCTCTGTCAATGGGTGTGCTTGGCTGGAGGCTCGAACCATGTAATGGCAACATAACCGATGACGTTGGTGGGCTTGTCAAGCGACGCCAATGAACCGTGGAGTGTCGATAGTGCTGAGAGCTAAATAAGCATGGGCATGGCAATGTCTTGGCCGAGTCTTGGGTGAGATGTGCAGACAGTTGCGATCGCAGGCGGAGATTTATGTCTTTGGCTTATGCCCATTACGTTGGCCATTTCGTCAGCCGTTGTTCAGACGTTCAAGGGTTCTAAGCTTTGCATGTCAATATATGGCTAAATATATCCGGCTGCGTTCCCGGACCTGATTCATGCTGCAGTTGCTCTGTTTGTACTTATTTGTATTTATCTTTTTTTGTGCCACTGAAGTTGCCTTCACTTTTTGGCTGCCCATTGCCTGCAGGAATTTCCAATTAGCTTTGGTTATCGCACAATTTGTTTGGCTTGTTGGCTGCATTTGCATATCGGCCTGCTGAGCGATTTATCGATGATATTAGCTTGGTTTTTGGTGGATGCTAATTTACGAGTTTTACTTGGATTTATCTTGTTGAATAAGCTACTGTAGGTAATGGTAAATATGCCTTAAAATACCAAAGAATTGGTAATTAAATATTTAGTTTTTAAGGCTTGCAAATATTCTCATTTTAAAAATTCTTCCTTACTTCAGTTTCTGCATAATCAATACCATATCCGCGTATTTTCCCAACATTTTCTTCAGCTGAATCAGCTTTTCTGGTTGGCAACCAACTGCTTCGGAGTTGGCCCAAATCATTTGGTTAGCCAGCGGTACACAGCAGCTGTTTCAGCACCGTTCACCGCTTTGATAGCGATCTATTAATTGGCCATTTTTGGCAAATTATTTGTCGTTTTTTTCCTTCTCTCTCTCTCTCTCGATCTTAATTCTTTGTTTTCGGCTTTATCTTTTGCCTGAATTATGACGAATTTAATGGTATTTAGAGTGCGGGCGACGACAAATTTATATCCCATTTTTACCGTGGGTATTAAGTGGGAAAATTTGTTTTTTAAAAGCTTACTGTTTAAGTTTTTTAGTAAAGAGTTCTATGGCTATTAGCTGGCCAAAATGTCTATAATTAATATTCAGCATCCTCTTTTGGATTGATGATACACTCTGAACTCCCATTCAGAATATTCCCATGACTCAGTTTACCCCTACTAAGTTTGTTTTGTGTTTATCAATCAAGTGATAAACAAGCCGAAAAACCAATGGACATCGTGGGTGGTCGACAATCATTCATCCCATCAAAAAAAAGGGGGTGAGTATGTATATAGCCATATAATCAAAGTTATTAATAACACAACAATATCATTTGTTAGACATTTTATGAATTGCTGTTCTTTATGCTGTGTTCATCGCCCGAGAATGTTGTGTGAAAGGCAGAAGAGCAATCAGAGTGATGATGATGATCATGCATCTGGGATGTGAGTGGAGGGGATTGGATTCTGATCGTGAATGGGTCTAATGCTTAGTTAGATATGCATTCAACGGACAATTAGACAATGATTTCACTCGATTCAACTTTGAATGGAGGAAGTTCATGTCCAACATAGCCATAATTGCATAAGTATTTTCTAATTGAATATCGAGAGCTGTTCGTAATCTTAATTGCATAATTTCTTAGGAAGAATAATCTCTTCTCATTTGCCAGATCATCTAAATGCAATTAAAGGAATCTTAAGATGCATTTAGCAGGTATTAGATACTTTTAAGAATCATAAAATCTTATCTAAGCTTAAACTAAAAATCACTCAATTCAAACTTAATTACTGTAATTTGTGTTATAGCAAATTGCTTAATGTTAAAAACATTTTGATTTGTTTTAAAACCCCTTAAACGCTGCCTTTTTACGATCATTTAAGCTGAGCTTTAGCTATGCCCCTTCCCCTTACCCTTCATTTAAGGGACACCTAAAAATGGTCGACAAGGGGGAGGTTTGTTCACTTGCATAATTATTCACACATCTGGGAAGTTAAATATAAAACAAAAGTTAAATAAAGGCCAAGAGAAAAAACCAACAAAAACTGCCATTAAAGTTGACATGGGAAATGCCCCGAGTGTCGGCGCTGTTTCAGAGTCCAAAATCAAGGAGGGTGTAAACATGGCTAATACTATACTTAACCCCAGACATCCCCACTGTCTAGATTCCAGGGCGTTGTAAATATTTATTTTGTTTTTACCGTAAATTTCTATTTACTTTGACAGCTTCAATGCAGATTGGTTATAGTGTTGGCAGAAGCATAGCTAGTTAACGATTTTCAGAAACTACATCTAGTTGGGAATTCTAAAGGTAACATGATATATCGATTGTTAATATATTTAAATTAACAATTATTATATGAATATTGAAGGCATTTTAAGGAGTTTAAAAAGAAACTAATAACTTGACTAGAAAACCTCTTCTTTGTATCAGCTTAAAGTACAACTCAGGAAGCATCTATAAGCTATTAATTTTTGTACCCTAATTCATAAATTTAAGCTAAAAATGTTTATTTCTTAAATGATTTCTTCATATAAATTAAGTTTAAGGTAAAAGACACTTCAACATTTCTTATTTCTGCCTTTCCACCACTTGGAAACCCAAAAACCCACAAAAGTAAAGCCAAATATCGACTATTTGCTTAGCTCTCTCGCAGAACAGCTGATTGTCGGCCCCTCCTCTTTAACACCCACCGCCCCCTCGTTGATCACCCATTGCTGCTTAGCGTGTTCATGCAAATTTGACCTTGACACAATTTCGTTTCATAACAGAAAAGCAAACAAATGAGCGAGGGAGGCAGGTAGCCACACACACATGTGGTGTGTGCATGTAAGTGTGACGGCGGCGGCGACACACATATTAAAGACAGAAACAACAACAACAACAGCAATCAGTGGGGTGTAGTGGGTGGGGAGGGTGTTAAGGTGGCGGCGGGAGGAAGCAGGTGAGATGGAGACACAAACTCGTGTAATAACTCAACCTCAAGTGCGGGCCAACTAAAACAAAAAAAATTGATTCTCCGATTTTTTTGCGGTTTTGGCAGTGAGAGAAATTTGAGGTAAGAAGATAAATTTGATTATTATTATTCGGTTGTTAAAACGTTAATCCAAGAACTTCCTGTACTTTTAATGCAGCTACCTCTAATACCCCCTGAAATGTTGAAAAATTAAAAAAAAATTCTATTACTAACTCCGCTTTTTCGCAAGTGTAGTTACCGTCGTTACACCTCGCCAAATTGCCTGTTGTTCGTCGGCGGCATTCACATGGCCAAAACGTCTTACGAAAACTGTTTTTATTTAAGTGCCAAGAAGTCAAGTCTGAGAATTGCATGCTCTGAACTTTGCCGGATTTCTGGGAGGGAGTGGATGTGGGGGCTTGGGTTTGGGGTTGCACAAGCTAACCAGCGACGAGGTGCGATGAGCACGCTATGGGGATTGGGGAATGAGGAGCAGCGATTGGAAATTCTAATGGTAATAAATCGGAGACGGATTTGATCCCAGGCCTGGGTCAGGTCAAATCATCTCACGATCAATGTAGCTGGCTAAAGCCAAAACCTTTCTGGCACCAAACCCCCAGATCAAAGGGGAACAAGCCGACAAATTTTGAGTCATGTTTCGGTGCCAATTTGGCTGGCAACGTCTGGCTTTTACAATAAAAAAGGAAAAAAAGAAGAAAAAACATATAAACCGAAATCGAGATCTCCTCTGAACACAATGAACTTCTAATTAATTTCAATTTTGTCGGCTTTTGTTTATGCCTTTCCTTAAAAGCAAAAATCTTAATTTCTATTATTAATTAGTTAACACATTTCGCGCATTAATGAAGGAGAGCTATGAAAGCGACTCATCGCTGGCACGTGGAGGCATTTTTAATCGCTGCCCCATAAATATGCACATATCTATGGCCATTTGCCCCCGTCAGCCCATCCACCGTTCCACCCTATCGATTGGGAAGACATTCTTGGCCGGATTTCATTCTTTAAGTGGACACCTTGCGTTGGAGATTTGCATGGGATAATGAAGGTGGGCAATTAACGGATTTAACAGGTGACACTGAAGGCCTGCTGAATGGGAACTGATTAGAAAACTTGATGAGTGGCTTAGGAATTTGGATTTCAAACATTTTTGCACACTTTTACCTTAATTACATATTAATTGGCCATTTAAACGGTGTTATAGGTTCTAAAATAAATATTGTTTTTGTTTATAATGTCTAAATTGTTTATCATAAAAATAAAGACCTTGAATATATTTTAATTTCATATTTAATATAGCTATTAATATATACCAATACAAGCATGATTTATGCCATTAATAACAGTTTAATTATAGATGCATTGAATATTTTTTATGCTCATGGTCAGTTTTCTCGCTTTTATGTGCCATTTAAGTTATAAAATATTAATTTAGCTCAATACAATGTATCGCTAATAAATCATATTTATTTTTATGGTTTACTTTCAATATATTTCTTGAGATACTTTATGTTAGAGCTAGAGTAAGAAAGCAGAGATTGTTAGATCTTAAAGAAAAGCCAACGATCTACAGTCAATATTAAGTTTGATATTAAATGAATGTTAAATTTTAGATCTGAATATTATTGTTAAGAATATTTTAATGATATATACATACATATATATAGTATATGTACATATATAGTAAGCTGTGTTAGTGTGTTTATCCACTTAAGCCCCAGAATGTAAAATTAAAACACAAAGGAGGATGCACTTTCCACTACTACATGACTTTGAAATATCAGTTAATAGTTAAAATAACCTTGAAAATCATCACCGATAAGAAAGTTATGCTTATTATTTACACTTTTTATACGCGATATATAGCTAGATGTAAATAAAGAAATTATTTTTTGCCCTTAAGAACAACAGCCAAAGCTTTAGTAAACGGCCAAAATAAAAAAGCTTTTATATTGCGCAAAATCGTTAAACTTACAATAATTTTTTGAAATTAAAAACAAATAAATTTATAGAAAAATATGTAATTATTTTGAGTTTCAAAGATTTTTATGTAAATGTTAATTTGAATGTCAACGGAAATGTTAAAGTAAATTTGAATGCTAACGGAAATGTCAATGCACTTGATTATGTTAAGTTAATGTTAACCTTCATTTTTGGCGCTCTCAGGTACCAATAATTCCTAACTGGTTCTATCTACAAATTTACCGCCTAAGCTGTGCAGACTCTCCATCTTCAGTTACCATCTTTCATTGTGCGTGTGTTACTATTAGTGAAGTGTTTGGTAGGGTCAATTTTGAACCCCATCATAGTGGTACTGGACTCCAGGAGGATGCAGTGCATCATGGATTTTTTTCTTAGTACACTTTTTTTATTTTTAATTACGGTTGATGTTGGATATTTATGACGATGCATATTTTGACTAAAATGAACAACGGGCATGCAGGTAAGTGGCCAATTTATATTATTATATAAATGTATATATGTATGTTATTTACTATTATTTATTAAAATAGTAAATAAAAATATAAAGCAGCGATGCTCAACGCCTGTGCTCTGAGTGCTGATTTGTTTTTGTAAATGCTCGCAGAATTTGGCGAAATTACACTAACAATTTTTCGTATTCCTCTTTCCGCCTCATTCCGTCACAAACGCAATATAATTTGTTCTTGTTTCTTCCTGTTACATCTCCGAACACTTGCACTGTAATTCATTCCTTATACCTTCTGTTTGCAATTTAGACTTTATTTCCCATTTGGCGGGTCAGTAAAATAAGTGATGCATTTTTTTCTCTCAGTGCACAGCTGCAAATCAGCACAAAAGCGTGAACGTGTGCACGCTTTCTTGTATTTATGTGAGTGAATGCTCTGCCGTAAGACAAATTTCAGCACCCCTATAAGACTAATATTCCTTGAAGGTTTCTAATTCTAGGATAATATTTAGATCACATCCCATGGGCATTGCCTGAAACTACTTCCCAAGCTCTAGCTTAGTTCTTGGTCATTTCTCAGGTATTTCAGCCAAGATCAGATAAAATTCCAACACAACTTAACAACTTCCTTCCTCTGTGATCTATGTTTTTTATTTAGCTGCCTTCTTAAAAACAAAATAAAAATAATCCCCAGCTGGCAGATGCTTAATTCATTTTTTGGAAAGTGAAAATGCCAGAACCGAATCGGTTTCGGATGCCCAATTCCAAATCCGCTTTGGTTTCAGTCATTATCCGATTTAAAGATCAGTCGCCGCACAAAAAAGGAGACTCTCGAAAATGTTTATTTGTGTATCTCTTACACAATAATAAATTATAAAGATTTTTTTGGATGCTTTATGTGCTACCAAATTGGATGCCTTAGTTGCTTCCCCATTCTTTTGGCCGGATTTTTACGTGGGTGCCTGCTCTGCTCTTTTTTTTTTTGTCATATATATATACGACTATATGATATTGTCAAATCTGAAGTGGCAAATTCGACAAAGTGAAGGGAGAACTGTCTGGGAATGTGATCGACTTGATTGAGTCGAGTATTGAGCGCTCTCTAACCTGGTGACACGTGTCCCATGAGTTTTGGCCATAAATTTTTATATAGCTTCCGTGGCCGTAACAAAGCAAAAGCTTTTAATAGATTTTTTTTATTAGCTCTGCAAATTAAATAAAATTGCATGGCTGGGCAGAAATTGGCCAACATTTAACATTTACTTTGGTGCGTTTTTCGTTTTTCTCTTTTGCTTGAGAATTCTGCACAAGGTTATCAAACACACAAACACCAAGCGAAACAAAATTGAATGCAATTAAAGTTTGCATTGAAATCCGCCGAAAAATTGCTTCTCTTTAACAATTTTAATAACCGAATGCAATTTGCAGTTTCTGGTGTATGCTGGTATGGGTTTGTATCTGTGTTTAAGTTCTTAGCTGAACAAAGTGCAATAAAATTAAGCAGGGCACAGTTTAATGTTGTTAACTTAGAACTAAGCTTTCAGGCAAAACTGATTTAAAAAGAACGTACTGAAGGAGCTGAGATCGAGGTTGGTTCTGGGATTTATTTTAACGGTGAAATTAAAAGGAAAAGGAAATGAAAAAGGAAAACTAAAAGAAGCTTTAAGAACTACGTTTACTAGTCATTTTACTGCTCTAAAAATACTCTTAAAAATTTAACTTAAAAAAGGAACAATTTCATTAAGATAATATTTGAAATGCTTTTATAAATTAGTTAAAAATATGATAAAATATATTCATTTTCTTCCAGTAAAACTTCTTTCCTTAATTAAAAAGAATATTTTAAATCCGAGTCATTTTAAGACTTTTGTTCTACAAAAAAAAGAATTCATTTTCTCTCATTTTTTAAATATCGTTTTCTGCTTACTTTAATATTTTATTTTGTTAGTTTTAAATAATTATAGAATATTTATCTATATTTTTATTTGACTTATTTAAGTTATTTTACAAAGCTCAATTTTTTGTTATTATTTGTTTTTTTAACCAAAAAGGCCTTCATAATCTAGTCTTGTATCGAAAAAAGTCCACAAATTTTGTAATAATTTTAATCGCACCAAAAATGTTAAGCTGCTTTACGATCAAGCTTCGGCAATTTGGCAATACTGCACTTAGACCGAGATCAATATTTTTGTGAGCCAAATCAAAAGGAAACTCGACAAATCAGCCGCAAAAAAATGCAATTTTCAATGGACTACTTTAAGTAAATAAAATATAAATAAAATGTCGCGAAAATATGATTAATGATGGGGTTGGGAAAAATTTGCAATTGGCAAGTCGGACATAAAAACAAACTGAAATGGCAGAAAAGAAAATGAACAAAAAATGGAGACAAATACAGAAAAAAAAGCAAATTGTAAACACGTTTTCGAGCCATTGCGGTGATGCCGCCTTGCATTAATGGGCCAAGAGGCGTGGCACATTTTGGCGGCACAAAGACAGGCCGACAACTTGTCACGCACATTTTGTTGTTGCTGTTGTTGCTGTCTCTTAGCCTAGTTAACATGTTAACTTAAAGTTGCAACAACAAAACGAAAATAACAAACAAGCGTAGAAACATTTTTTTTTATTTTGGTGGGATAAATTTGTCATTTACCTGCTTGGGCGCATCCATTTTTGACCAGGCTAACGAAAGTGTGAGTGGGAGAGATGGTTTTTTTATCGAATTTCAATTAGTTTTATTTTCGGGTTTTCCTTATTTTCGTGTCTTCACTTGGGCTACTTTGGGTTTATATTTTTAGTTTTGAAGTTTATCAGAGTGTCACTTTTGGGTTTTTTCGATTTTTCGATTTTTAAAGTTCAATTTAAGTTTCACGTTTGATTTCGATATTCTCTAAAGTTCAATTTCAGTTTATCGTTCGTTTTCGTTATCGATCTCTCACTTTCAACGCAGAACAACGCAAATGCAACAATTTTGAATTGACAAATTTCAACTTGTTTTTAAGATTTGTCGCTTTTTCCGTTCCCCGCCACAACTTTGTTTCGAATTTAGGAAAATAGTTAGATTTTCGCATTCACTGCAAACTAGTTAGAAATTCGAAGCTTTTGGCGGTTGTTGGTAATTTTAACTTGGTCTGTAATTTTAACTTTAATTTTAACTCTAGCTCTGAAGGCGCGTGCACACTCCGTTGCGGCTGTGCTGAGACTAACTGCGACGTCGGCCGCCCGACGCTTCAAGTATTAAGAAAAAAACTACATTAAACATTGTTTGCTTTGGGGGCCTGCACACACTCACACACACTCATGCACACCTCCATGGAGAGCATAGCGACACTCGCACAGATACACACACTCTCAGTTTGGGGGGCTACAATTTGTTCGCTGCTCGGCTGATCTGAACTTTTGTGGTTAATGCCAAAAGTTGGCTTCTGCTGAAGTGGCCCGAAGATGCTGGCCCGAAGAAGCTGCCCGAGAAGTGGGGGTGGAAGTGGGGTCAGAAGTGGTCTAATGCTAGCGAAGGTACTATCAGTGCACTGACAAAAATTTGTATGCGGATTCTTCTTAATATAAATTCTTATTTTAATAAACCCAAATGTATCGAACCTTAGAGATTTTTATAGTAAAATAAATATTTTAAATAAATCTTTAATAGGAAGGTATTTCATTTTTAAAGAAATTTGTAATTCCTTAAACAATCATTAAGCTGTTATGTTCGTTGTAAACATTTACATTTAAACTTAAATAACTAAAATAACTTATATACCTTTATTTTCAACATTAATTTAGCAAGAAATGATTATCGCTTTCTGTTAGTTACAGAGACATTGTTTTTTTATACCTCTTTCATCCATAAGAAATCCATCATATCATCATCAACGTGTACCTGCACTTGAGCTTTGCTCTATCGCAGAATAAGATACAAAATCAAGGTCACACAAGCTTCCGTTTCTTTCAGAGCTGTTTTTATTCACTTTTTATAACCCAACTTTTGATGTTTTCTTTTTTATTCGAATTGCACTCAACGTTATGTAATGCAATTTTAATTGATCATCTTCCGCGCTGAGGGAGATTCCGATTCCGCCAACTTTATTGTTATTTGCGGCAAATTGTGAAATTGAGTAAACTTTTTTCCGAATCTTGCCATTCAGCACGTACACAAGAGATAGACAAAGATAGGGAAAGAGAGAGAGAGAGCGAGAGCGCTGTGCCGGCACACGACCTTGACACATATTTCGCCGCCGAAGTCAACGACCAACGAAGTTGGTTAGGAAAACTCGTTACTGTTGTGTTTGGTTTTTTTTGTCCAGGTGAGTCACGCGGAGAAAGAGAGGAGAAATTGTGACGGATTGAGAGAGTGTAAAAGAGATAGCAGAGCAAGTGGCTTTTTGAGCCATGAACTTGAATTCGATGGGCTCAGTGGGTTAACGAATTTGTCTAAACATAATAGTGAAGGTCGTGTCTATAAGGCAGGAGAAAAAAGATTGATCTGAGGCAAATAATGGTTATGACAAAAAGCAGAGTCTTGGAAATGACCTTCAAAAAGCATTAAATTTTCTAAATTGATTACATATCACAATTAGTGAGGTAATAATACTTCATCATAAGCTAAGTTGTAGAATATCTCTATGCAAATTAAAAGCTTTCCTGACCAAACCTTGTAATATCCGTAGCTAACTATCAACATTTAGTTTTAAATAATTGCTTGGCAAAATTACACAACTATCTGAAACATCCAAAAATCTATAAAAAGTTTTTGTTAAATATTATTTGTTTCTATAAAATTAACAATTTACACCAGAACGTGTTAAAAAACGTGACAGATAAGGAGGCTACCTAAGACCCATAAAAATAGTTAGTGTTTAACCATTAAGTGATTAACGGTTGTAAAAATAATTGCAGAAACTTGCAAGATTTAGATATAATCATAATATTTAAGAACCTTGTAGAAGCTAAGCAATCTAAGGGGGCGTGGTTGAATTATATATTTTATATAAACAAAGTTTATTTCATCAAGAAAT